TCGGGTGGGCGGCTGGACTCAATGATCTTCCAAGGTCCCTTCCAGCCCTAATGTCTATGAAAATGGACATTTGGTACTATGACTGGTTGAACCAGTGTGAGATCTGCTGTAGACCTAATGCCTATAGCTACCAGCATTTTAATTTCAGATCTTTTAGACCTGCTCTAAGTATGGTTTTAAAGTCAGGTGACTGCCTGTAGTCTTGACTATAATCTCTTATCTTTACTCCTATGTGTGCAATGAAAATATTGATAGCAAGAATGGAAAATTATTGAACAAGTAAAAGCAATGTAAATACCCATTTTAGACCTGATCTTACTCTCTGGCACTCCCCTGTAAATCTTGAATAACTGTACTGATTTGATTTGCATTAAAAGAACTGAGAGCAGATTCTATTAATTTTTTTTCTATTGAAAAGTATATATTAATGGATGGTCTAGCATATTAGGTAGAATTTTTAAAGCTACAAGTTTTGAAGACCGGGATATAGGATTAATATTCATGTCTTCTGTTTTAAAACAAAGTTCATTTGATGAAATGAAGAAATTTCTCATTTGAAAGCTGGATAAAAAAAATATGTTTTACCTTGTTCTTAGTTTTTCAGTGCAAAATTCTATGCATCTTCATAGGCCAGTCTCTGAGAGGTGGCTTAACATAAAAGGTGAACAATCTACCATTAAAAGTAATAATCCATGTTAATCTATTTGTAGTCTGAGTATTTAGAATCATACACAGTATCATTTTAAAAATATGAATTATTTACATGTAGTTGTGTAGTAATTTTAAAGTAATATAGGCCCATTTGAACAACTACTATTTTTATGCAGGCAAATGTAGAGTTACCGATCTTAGAAGGAGGTAGGCCAGCCATCCCTGGAAGGTGGTAATTCTGAAAGGAATTACGAGCACAAACACATGAGGTTCCATAATAATTCTGTGGCAAAAATAGCTGTGACACCTGATAGCAGCAAATTGGAACAGAGGAATGATTTTATCTTCACACATGGCTTCTGTGAAAATGACTCTGGAATTCCCCTTTTGAAAATGAATAGAAAAGAATAGCCACAAAAATATTTGAAAGCTGGGGAAAAATAAATATTTTATGGTAAATAGCTCAATATTTGTAACTTATCAAAATAAAATTGAAAGATGGCTTCTTTACAGTGCAAAGTACTCTCTTGGGAAGAAAGTACTTGATACAAAAGGCTCTTTATTTTAGCAGAAAGAAATGGTAATTTAAAACCAGTTTCTGGAAGCCGAAGCTAGACTCACTCAAATTAAATGTTAACATAAATTTGTAACAGTAAGGATGACTAGTGAGCCTCACTCTACCTCTTGGTAGAAGGTTGAATGCTTTTCTGAAATATCTGATTTTGTCAAACTCAAACTATGCTTTAATCGAAGACAAGTGACTGGGCTCAGTACAGGGTAACTGGATATAATGTCCCATACTATACAGGAGGTCAGAGTAGATGATCTAATGGTGCCTTATGGTCCTAAATTTGATTAATCAAAGTTTCAGGACAAAGATGCTTATAATCTTTGTAAATTATCAAGGCCTCAATCCTGATTGGAACATCTAGCTACTACTATAACAGTAATAACAACTGAAGTAAAAATGAAGAGACTTAGGCTTGGTATTGTTTCATTGATACAATGGTAATTCAGCAGATTCTGGGCACTTCAACAAGCACAAATTACTGTGCAGTAACTGAAATTACTGGGCAGTACAGGTGTGCGTCTATACATGCATGCCTGTGCTGTGCAGTAAATATGCTGACTTATGCTGACTTGAATGTAAGTTTGATACCTACATCATGTAGGTATCAAATTTACGCCTGATTAGTTACTGCATAGTAACACACATGTAGATGCCTTGCTGTGCAGTAACTCTGTGTACAGACTGATTTGGGACTAACTTTAGTCCCAAATCAGTCTGCACACACCATTAATGCGCTTTAACACATGCATGTGTAGATGCTGGCCTATTCCTGCTTGCCACGCTGTAACTTATTGTGCAGTAAATTTTAAGCTGGTGTAAATGCACATGTAGACACATCCTGAGTGTTTTATTAAACAAGGATTTATGTGCAATTTTACCTACATAAATAAGGGCTTTAATTATACAGTTTTATTATTGTCAACATTTTCTCGAAAATAAAAAAAATAAACATTTTTCTCTGAAACTTGCATAGACAGAATGATAAGTCATATACTATGTGAAACATTAAGTAGTTAGGAAAAGTTTCAAATACATATTTTTTATTAGTTATTTCACGCAGCACTTCCTTCTGAATCTGCAGTACTGGCAAACTTCTCTCAGTGACATTCCCTGGTCTGTCCTTAGCCCAGTTCTACCATCCACAATGCCAACTCTCTTTCTGGGGCAGCAGTCTATCATAACCCTAGAAACTATTCTAATTTTGTGGGGCCAGAGGTAAACCACTAGTTTCCTCCCCCTGCAGTGAATTCAGAAGAGATGGAAAGAAAAGAAGTGTGGGAGATTCCTAGAAGGATTTCTTTTGGGTTTCCTGTTCCTGATCTAGTTCTTTCAGAAATCAATCAGCCCACTCTGCTGTGTTTCCTGCATTCTCCATCATAAAGGTACTATAGAAGGAGAAGTGTGGCTCATGGCTGCGTGCCATTGGGGGCAGACTTTCAGTTTGCCCCAAAAGGCAGGTATGGCTATGCCCCAAATATACTTGCATGTACTTAGATAAATTACATTCCTTTATTTGTATATATTTATAATATATGTATATTTATATCCTGTTGATAGAAACCATTCATGAAAGAAAAATACCTTTTTGATTTAGATTTTTAAAGCAGATAAAATATTACAAAATGTTCAAACATATGCGACTGGAATTAGTTATAGATATCCTTATTTAGATACCTATATATGTGGTCTGGTTTTCCTATGTACTGAAGACCCCTTGGTTTTTACAGAGGTCAAGTTCAACTTCCATAAACTTTCATGAGAATTTTTCCAGTGAGCGTTTCATGCTCTACACTGCAGTGTGTTGAATACATTAAATAACATAGATATCTCAGAAATACTTCTCTGTGCTGTTTATTTCATGATGGATGCCTAAAATCCTAAGCTGGCAAAATTCCACATACCTTGGCATCCCACAAGGCTTCTTTCTGTAGAAATCATTCAAAATATCAGGAAACACCATGAAAGTTTATGACGTTGATGATAATCATTAACAAATGATATTTAGTCATTGTCATTTGTCTGAGTCTTGTTTCCTCACAGGGAGGGAAAGATGACTTGGCCCACCAATTGCCATGCATTAATGATGCATACATTAGTATTACCATTCTCAATAGCTCATAGTCACACATTCACTTTATTTCCCACATTCCAGAATTTCTTGCCTTACTTTTAAATGCTTTACAAAGATGGGTGTGGTTGTGTCTTCACTTTCCAGCTACTCCCCTTGCCTGTGTTCTTTTAAAATTGTTTAGTTCATAAGCATAGACAAGTTCATGCATGTGTGTTAGTTTCAGCACGTTTAACATTTATTAATTTAGATGCTTTCTGAGATTAAAATGAAAGAAGTTTGCCAGGGTAAGATACCTTTCAGTCCAATGGATTAACACCCTTTCTTGAAACCAGCTTTTGCTTCATTTCTCTTTCTCTCTCATTCTTTCTCTCTCCCTCTGTCTCTCTCTTTTTTTTTGGCGTGTGTGTGTGTGTATATTTTTTTAATTCTAAATTTTAAATCAGATTTTTTTAAAAACTACTCTAGTATAGTATTTTTACATGAATGACATAAATATACATTTGCCTTTGCTGGATTATAGGCATCAGCAACACTCCTGTGTTCACAATCCCAGCAATTCTTGTGTCCCTCCCATGTGTTCATACTGAACACACAAACACTTGAGTTGGTCCTTGGAATTTTAAATAATATCATTGTAAGACTCTATCCAGATGCCCCACAACTACAGTATTCTTATGGCTCTGACTTTCAAGCATTTGAAACAACTTTTTAAAGCAATAGCAGCAAAGGTCTTAGAGGAGAGCACACTGGACTTGTCTACATAGGGGCCCTTTTAAGCAGGATTTACCTAAAATTGCCATTTTTAAGGTACAATAGGAGTGTGTGTCCACATGTGCATGCCCTTAATGCACCTTTAAAAATGGTGAGTTTAGGCTAATCCCACCTAAATTTGATACCTGCTTAAAGTAAGTATCAAATTTAAGATGGCATAGCTAAATCACATTAGCCCATGTCTAGACAATTAGTGCACATTAATGCAGTATGCATCAATGGATACACACCGTGTTAAGGTGCATTAGTGTGGCTACAATGGGCTAATGAGACTTAGCTATGCCAGCCTAAAGTTAATGTGCCTTAACGCTCATTAACATATCTACATGTAGACAAGCATCTAAATCTCCTTAATGCTCCTTAAACAAAGGCACATTAAATTTAGGTGCATGTAATTACATGTGTAAACACACCCACTTATACCAGTTTTCCAGGTGAATCTGTGTGGCCACCTCATGGCACCTTGGAGAGTACTGGAGAATAATCATGGCCTTACACACTTACTTCTGCTCTTCATGTACCAGGCCTAAAAATGAGGCAGTGAAGCTATCTTGGAAGTGACCCCTCTCCCTTCAAAGTCACTCTTAAGTTTGCTAGAGGCAGAGAGCTCACAAGTGCAGCAGGGGGACAAACCAAAGTTTATTTCCATACCTGATTTTAAGGTTTGGTGTGTGCAGGCCTAGAGCTTTCAAGGATGCTGGAAAAAGGTGTTGCATACCTTAAGACAAGAGTCAGCAACCTGCTGCACATGGGTTGAATCCAGCTCATTGAAGCCATAGGATCCAGCCCATGGATATGGGGCTTTGGTGTTTAGCAGTGCGAGGGTGCTCCTCCCATGCCATGGCAAGAAGCAGCAGCGACAGTGGGAGCTCCCCCTTTGCTGCAGGAAAGAGAAGCACCAGTAGTGGCTGCCAGGTCCTAGCACAAGCCCACCCCTAACCTGACCTGAGTCATTCCAGCCCACAGCCTGAAAAGGCTGTCAACTGCTTCCCTAAGATAATATGCTAATGAGAAAGCAGTTGGAGAGAACAAATGAAGTTTAGGTATGAATGGATAACCAGTAACCTGCAGTTTGATACATTAAACCAGGGATGTCAAACATATGGTCTGCAGGCTGGGTCAAAGCTGTGAAGCTGTATGATCTGGGCTATGGGTCACTGGACCCATCACACACACTGACCCCAGGACTGTGCACTGTATGTGGCACAGGGGCTGGACCTAGTACCACACACCCTGCACACAGACAGGGGACCAGCACAGGGCGCACATTGCATTTGGTACCCCACAGGACCAGTCCTGGCTAATGGCTGACGCCAATCTGGATTGGGCTGTGCCAGAACTAACACAAAGAACCAGTCTGGTAGGATGCCACAGTATGCTCCATACTAGCCCACTGTGCTGAGTACAGCATGCCTGGCCTGTCCAGCCCTGCATGCTGTGTGCAGCACATGCCAGCCCCAGGGAACACACTACCCATGGCATGCAGGCTGGATCTGGTGCTGCATGTAGCACAGGGGATCTGGGGCACAGATCACATGCAGTGCCCCTGACCGACTCCCTCTGCTCCCTGTAGTGTTGGGTCTAGGCTACACACCTTGAACTGCACATGCCCCATGCTGGCCCTGCATAGCAAATGCAGAGGTGATTGGTCCCAGTCTGGCCCTCAGACCAGCCCATGACCCTCATCTATCCTGCAGGGCCAGCTTAGTTTGACACCCCTGCCTTAAACCATTCCTTTATAACAACAGGGGAAAAAAGAAAGAAGAATCTAAAGAATGTGGAAGAGAGACATTGTGCAATATTGTTACAGTGTTATTTATACATTTGTAATTAGCAATTCCTAAAGTTTAGTACCAAAGCATTTTACACCTAAAGTATATTTTATCACACTTCCTCCTACAACATGTTTCAAATTTCCACATGTGTAGTTGAATGGAATCCCATTTTGATTAAGCTTGTATAGCTTGAGAGGGCTAAAATTAAGGTTACATTGCTTGAGCTATATGAAGTTTAATTGGCTCTTTATTTTATATGAAGGTAAGGTCAATAAGATCAGCTGAGCCAGTGTTATAGGAACTGAAATTGAAACTAGCTGTCAGTACCTATAAAAAAGAGAGGTAGTTCTTGCTAACACCTATATTAAATTAATTCATGAAAATTTGAAAATGTCATTAAATATTTTAAAACGTGCATTCATTATAGAGTTTGTAATGTTTAATTTATTCCAACACTATTAAAATGAAATGGAGCTACAACAATTTATAGCAACCGAGATTCCGGTTGAATACTTTTAAATTGTCAGGTTATTTGATTGTTGACGTTCCTCACTTATATTTAACAGCATTTTCACATGTGCTGTCCTGATATCTGCAGTCTGTTTGTTTTGTATGTTCTTCATCCAAAGCTATTGGCAAGTTCCTTTTCCAGCTTTGCATCCTTCAGGAGACCACCATCCCTTCTAGGCTTGCATTACTGTGAGCCAAATTATGTTTATGGACCATGCAAAGATAGCATTTACTGCAGAGCTAAGGTGTAATCAAGGGGATTCCTGCTGGAGCAGGGGGTCTGGGCACATACAGAATGGTATCGGAAAATGAGGGGGAAATCCAGGGAAGGCTTAGAAAAGAGAAAGCAGGACTAGTAAAGACAGGAAGAATTGGAAGGAAAGTGAGGTAAGTACAAAGAAGGAAAAAATGAGGAGGAAGAAAAAAATCATCACAAGGAAGGATGAGGTAAAAACAGACAATAGTAAAATAAAATAATAAAAATAATCAAACTAGAGGAAAAAAAACAGAGTCAAAGGAAAGCAAAACTTATGGAGAATAGTTAGCCTGGCAAATAGTCTTTCTTTTCAGTTTTAGAGATGAAATGCTACCTCCAAAAAAGACTTGCAGGGGAAGCCACAAGGTAGTGATTCATATAACTGAAGGCAAGAAGACTTAGGGCAGGAGGGAGTATGGGGTGGGGGGTATTTAAAGATTTTTTTTTTTAAAGTAGAAGAACAGGCTGGATCCAGTGTGTGTACTGTTCTTCTATTTCTATTTATGGTGTGTCCAGAAGCTGGGTGTGTTTGGATGACTGACTGCTTAGCCCTTGGGGAGAAAGGAGTGCCTCACTTCACTCAATAGCCAACATTTCCTTGAGTTAAGGACTGGTTTTAACAGGCTGTGAGTAGAGGCTGTCTGTTCTTTGGAAGTGTTCTAACCAATGCAGGATATTTTGATGAGTGGGGGTTGTAAAACTAAGGGTCAAGTTGTAGTAAAGGCTGTAAATAAACATATATTTCCCATTCCAGAAATAAGAGGAAAAAAGAAAGGTAGTACTATTTTTGACATTGCTGAAAAGATTTCTTACCACTCGCTTTCAGTGTTTGCATAGCATAAACTTCTGGCACGTTGGTGAGATAAAGTCAGGAGTCCTGATTCTTTTTCTAGTTACACTGGTGTAAACCTAGTGAGTTCAAAGAAGCTATTCATATTTTGCATCAGTACAGGCCTATGGATTCAAACCCTGGGTAAGAAGAAGAATAGTTAAGGTATTCAATAAGCAATATTCAGCATCCAAATGATGGCATTCTCCTCCTAGATCTGATTTAGATTGCTGTAGCTTCCAACCTGATAGAAGAGAAATAGAGCCAAAGAAAATGAAATTAAATGAAAGAAAATGATACAGCTTAGGAAAGAGACTTTCTGTTTTTTTTCCATCGTCAGCAAATTAAAGTGCAGAAAATCTGGTGCATGCAGAAAATGCTGTGAAGTTTGATCAATAAAAAACCCTCCCGTGTTGCACATTATAATATAAAACTAAAATGTCTCATGATTTTGACTGATCTTCACATGAATATTTTCATGTGCATGAGAGTCTTGAACTCTATGTAAACCTAATGAATAAGACCCTTGGTGAATCTGCTGTCTTGGATTTACCAGAAACTTACAAAATTGTACTGGTCCATTATACAGTTCTACTCTGCCTCATACTCTGAGTTTTATTACTAATAGATGTTTTCCTTCTTAAAACAACTGACATCTTGAAAAAACTATTATCCTTTATTCAGTCACCTTATAGGATTCCTGATGCAAACATATCCAACTGGTGT